CGTCTGCCCAACCGCATCCCTCACCCACAAGCCCTTTCCCGACTTACCCCCGGGATACGACCGCTACAAGCCGCTGGACAAAGTCTACAGCCACTTCATGATCCCGAGCCACTCAAGACTTGACGGCGAACTGTACACGCTCACCTTCATCCACGCGTGCGCACGCTATGTCTGGGCTATTAACACCGACGGTCGCTCTCTTGCCTTTGAGTGCTTCGTGGTGTGGATGAAGCAGGCTGAGCGTCAATCTGGGCTGAAGCTGAAAAGCTACCAGACAGACGGGGGTTTGAAGTTCTTCTTAACAGAGCTCAAGGAGCTCTTCAAGCAGCAGGGGATTGAGCACCTGGTGTCCCTGCCCTACGCTCACGAGCAGCAGGTAGTAGCAGAACGAACAAACAGGAGCATCGCTACATGGATGAGGGCCCTGATGAAGCAGTCGGCCATCCCAACCAGATATTGACCGTTTGCGATGAACCACACTGTTCGGCTGCACAACCTGTTGTCCTCCCGAAGCCTCGAGAACAACAATTCGCCCTACAAAGCATGGACGGGCAAAAAAGCGGTCACACGTTTGCTTCAGGTGTTCGGCTGCGTGGTACAGTACAGACCACACACAGCAAGGACCAGAAATTTTTATGACCGGGCACGCTGGGGAATCCATCTCGGGATTGAAAAGGATTACAAGGCGTGGATCGTGCTGGACTACGCGACACATGAATTGACGAACACGTGATTGCATCTTCTACGAGAAGCTGACTCTGCCACTGTTCAAAGAGCATCAAGAAGCTCACAAGGCGTCGGAGAGGGTTTTCGAAGGGCATCGCAGCTTCGCCACATCACACGATGAAGCTGACCTGGCAGAAGCTGGAGACGCAGCTAATGTCACACCAATGGACACTGCCCCGAGCATCCCCCGCTCCAGGGTACGACTTTCATTCCTATACATCAAGTCGATCCTGACGATACAATTCGCGGAGCTCACAACTACACCAGTGAGGCATGCCGATCCCCGGATGCAGAGTTACCACAGCCCGACACCTCGCAGGACACCCTCCGTCTCGGCAACGAAAGTGACGATGACGTCGTCGAGGTTACAAGGTTCCACTACGAAAAGACCAACGAAACTGGTCTGCGCGTTCTCGGGCTCGCTGTAGCTGTTCGTCACGCCTCTCTCAAAGAACCTACCACTGTCCGCCAAGCTCTGTCTGGCCTCGACAGTGACAAATGGAGAGCAGCCATGGCCGCAGAAGTGGCATCGCTGAAGAGGCGCGGCACTTGGAAGCTGGTCCCTCGCTCATCAGCAAAGGGGAAGAAAATTCTCAGCGGCAAGTGGGTCTTCCGCATCAAAACCTTGGTGGACGGCTTTATTGATAAATACAAGGCGAGATGGGTGGTACGCGGCTTTGAGCAAACGCACCTAGTGGACTTCACTCTCACTTACGCACCTGTCGGACGTCACACCTCGGTGCGCATATTGCTCTGCTTCGCAGCCGCCAAACAACGATTGCTCCGTCAAATCGACGTCGGCAGCGCATTTCTGTACGCCCCCGTCGACGCCATCATTTTTGTCGAGCAGCCGCATGCCTTCGAAGAAAACGACGGTGCCGTCTGCCTACTCCAAAAATCCCTTATGGGATCAAGCAGGTGTTGTTGTCACAATAGGCTTCAATGTGCCTAAAACGAAAGATAGAGTGCACAGTCGGATTTCTGCACAGCATCTTTAAACATTGATAGCGATCTGTTCACAGCTGCAAATGACCTGATTCAACTTGGACCTGGAGTGTCTTAGCGTCGCCTACAACAGGCAATTTAAATCGCACGATTTTATCAAAGAATGATGACACGGCGTCAGATTGAACGAACGGCACTATGGCAGCAACATAGTCTTAGAAACACACAATTTGGAAGAAGTAGAAAGGGTTGTGAAGGGTTACGAGTTGGGAATGACTCCCAGCTCCTACAAACCCCAAAAGCCGAAGTACAGTGATGTGGAACAGTGCCACACTGTCCCCAACCAGGAAGGGTCTCGAAACTACCCTTCACAAGGGTCTACACCAACAGAAATGTTACACTACATATCGTAATGTAACTATCTTCAATATCTTGAGGTGTACCCTTTCGGCGAGCTTCGAAATCACTTGAAGCTTGAAACCAAGGCTCGGGTTCTTCATCACAAACTCATCCTTGAGTTCTTGATGGGTCTGCTGCACACACCTGCGACACGCCGAACGTTCAACAAGCGACAAAATAGAAACCGCGCACGACAAAATAGAAACCGCGCGGGACACACAAAATGACCGCGTTAACACGCGGCTAGCGATAACTCGCTATTGACTCGACACACACACTCGACATCATGACCCATCATACACACACTATTATAAGCATGAAATATATATTTATTTCATGCACTCGTATCATTCCATGCACACACGCATACACGCACACGGACAACAAACCGAGTGCAAACTGTATGGTTGCACCAACAGCAGGCACCTCGCCTGTAGCAGCAGTATCTCCACTCCGTTCTCATGGAGCTCGGACTCGCTCAGCTGCCGCATGACCTTGGGATGTACAGACGGGAGTCGCGTGGCAAGTTCATTCTCTTCGTCGCCTACATCGACGATCTCCCCTACACTGGCAATGACGCGGAGCTCCTCGATCAGTTCGAAGCCGATATCAAGGAGAAGCTCGAAATGACAGTCAATCACAGCGTTACGCAGTTTCTGGGACTCAACATCACCCAGTCCGGCTCCTCGATCCATCTCTCCGCCGCTAAATACGCCGAAACTCTCGGAAAGAAGTTCGCCGTCGCACTAATTAACCCCACGCACTCCTCCTCCTAATCATGAACCGGATACCACACCTCTCTCCATCGACAATCATCGGCTTTATCAACAGCAGCTGGGGTGCCTCCTGTTCACCGCCGTCACGTGCCGGCCCGATCTCTCCTACGTCGCAAGCCAGCTTGTACAGTATCTGAAGCGACCTGAAGGGGAGAATCTACTAGATCTACGCCGAGCACTTCAGTACTTCGTCTCTACCTCTGACGTCGGACTCACTTACGAAGCTAATCTCACCGCCACTCTACAACCCCATGGGTACATTGATGCACATCACGCGGGAGATGTTGACAACAGACGCTCCCGCACACAATTCATCTTTCAGCTCCATCCTACTGCACTCAACTCTTGGAACTCTCAGAAGCAGGAACTTATCGCTCTTTCGTCAGTTGAAGCCGAGTTCATCGCCGCCAGCGCAGCTGTTCGCGAAGGACTGTACCTAATGGAGCTCCTACAGGAGTGACGATGAATGGGCACTTTACGTTACTTTGCGAAAATCAGAGCGCGATCAAGATCGGGAACAAACCCGGCTTCGTGAACTGCACGAAGCACATCGCACTCCGCTACTTCTTCGTCAATGATGAAATCAATAAGGGGAGAGTCAAGCTCACGTACTGCCCGACCGGTGACATGACAGCTGAATTTCTCACAAAGAAACTGCCACGTCAATAGTTCCAACGCTGCGCCGACCTCAGCGGGATCACCAAGGAATCCCACGTGGCTTACCTTCAGGAATGAAGGGGAGTGTTGGAATAACCGAAAGGTTATTATAAGCATTCCCGAAGGTTTCCCACTAACGCGTCAATTCTTAACAGAACAACGCACTGTACCAGTTCCGCGATAGCTCATATAGAGCACGCGGAATGTCGAGGGTCACCCGAAGGTCAACCGTCGAAGACAGTCAACGGTCGTGACTCTTGACCGACCAGTAACCGCACGACAGTTGATCGCTGCAACGTGGTTACTGTCGAGAATAGCAATAGTCGTGGTTACTGTAGCTATGTAATACAGTTAATAAGGGAATGTACCCCTCAGAGTACATGGCTGGCTGTGGTACATGGCTATCCTATTCACTAGATCCTTTGGTTGTATCAACTCTCTCTCTCTCTCTCTCTCTCTCTCTCTCTCTCTCTCTCTCTCTCTCTCTCTCTCTCTCTCTCTCTCTCTCTCTCTCTCTCTCTCTCTCTCTCTCTCTCTCTCTCTCTGTACAAATTGTTGCAGTGTTGTGCCCACACTTGTGTGCACCAATGTACTAGAACATAAAGTTTTATGAGATTGTAAGAGACTGCACAACTCTTTTGTTTTGCAAAATTGTCCCATAAGTGTTGCTGAGTCAATCATAGAAGCTCAAAACAGATAAGAGTGACTGACTGAATGCTTTATCGGTTCTACCTTTTGACGCACATATTGAATGGGCTGAGTTTGACGGTTTGCATGCCCTGTTGCGGGGGGAAGGTGGCACGCCAGACAGTTGGATAGCAGCAGCAGCAACCCGTGTCACTGCTGATGAACCCAAACGACACTGCTCGTGCATCTTCGTGCACCGTCGCGAATCACGACACAAAATTGCTGGTGCGCGAAAACGAGTTGGCGAAAGTACAGCCCAGCACATTGTTGCCAACGTGATGATCGGTCACTTGTTGCCAGCACCGCTTCGCTTCCGTCGTGAAAGAGGCACGTGGCGAATGCCGACCACGATGCGCTTCGAGTAGCCGAACCGCACCTCCTTGCTGGTGGGAAGGGGAATGCCACGAACCCGAAGGCATTGCACCACAACCCAAAATTACTGTATCCCCCACGGCAGCACGACATCACTCGCAAAAAAAAGCATCCTTGCTTCCCCTGCCTTCGGGAAATCAATGCTAAAAAGGCGAAGCGCGACGTTCGGACTGATCAAAACTATCTCCAACCACCCCGCGAGAGCGCGCTGAGTCAGAATCTTTTGCCTCCCTCACTTTGGCCAGAAGATGTTTGACATTCGTCTGAGCACCGCACGCAACGCTGCACGCCCGTAAGAGCAATGATGGGCGGGTGCGACAAATACTCGTCGTTAGGGTCCTTCTGCTGATGATTTTTGTTGAATGTTATTAGGCTCTCGCGCTTGCTGCTGAGGTTGCAAGATCGGGATTAGCTCAATCATGGTGGGAGTCCCGAGCAATGGCCATTTCAAAATGCCTAAGCATCGATAGCGCTGGTTCTACTGCTAAAGGGCGGAAACCCCACGCAGCAGCGATTGCTATGCACCGTCTTATCGTTCGCCTCCGTTCAAGGCCAGAGCACTTCTCAGCGAGAGCACTTCTCAGCGACACCGCATTGCATCCCAACGCTCCGCTCGGTCACCCTGACCAATTCACTCATCATCACTTAAGTACCTCTCGGACGCTTCACTCGTACTAGTAGTACTAGAATCACACAACCTGTGGGATTTAGCATATAATCGCTGCTGACGCCATGATTCACTCGGGTTCGACCGCGGCGGCGGCGGAATCCGCGCGCGCAAGAGCTCCGCGGGAGTTCTTCTGCCCGCTGTCGGGGCGCGTGATGCTGGACCCGGTGATTGTCGCATCGGGTTGCACCTACGAGCGCGCGCACATCCTGCAGTGGCTGCGCGCGCCGGGCCCGCAGGCGGCGACCTGCCCCGTGACCGGCGCAGCGCTGCCGCACGCGCAGGTCGTGCCGAACATTGCGCTGAAAGAGCTCATCGCCACGTGGCTGGCGTCGCACGCCGCCAGTGGTACTACTAGTACTAGCAGCGCTACTATTGTCTCGACCCGGGGTCGCAGCAGCAGTTTCAGCATCAGCGTCAGTCGCGGCGGGGACACTCACGGCGCCGGCCATGCCGCGAACAGCCCCGGCGGCCGGCGCGGCGTGAGCTTTCAATCACCCCCGGCCGCTCTGGAAAAGGCCTTCACAGTTTCCTCTCCCCGCCGCTGCCCGTCTCCGTCGCTCCCCGATTCACCCACCAGCTCCGCCGCTTCCCCCTCTCCCTCCCCCTCCTCCGCCTTCTCCCCCACAATTTCCCCCGGGGGGGGCGCCGCAGCGGCCACGCGCACCCCTTTTCCGCCCCTTCCTTTCCCCGCGAGGGCAAGTTGTCTTTTCTCCCCGTCGTCGTCTTCCACTTCCGCTAGTACCTCCCCCCCGCCGCTCTCCACCTCCTCACACGCCTCACCCTCTTCCGCCGCCGGGTTCCCCCGCTCCACCTCTTCCTCCCCCGCCTTCGCTTCCTCCCCCCATCCGTGCGCCACTCCTTCCGCAGGCCCCAAATTCCCCCCTCCCGTTTCCGCCAGCCCGAGAAGCCGCGAGTCTGCGTTAAATTCCAACGGAAATCAGCAGAGCCATTGTCGAGTCCCTGCCGGGCGTAATCTCAACGCCCAATCCGCTTCAGTCGTGGCATCCGCCGTCAAGCCGACCGCACCTCCAGCCGGACAGCCGTCAGTTGTCCGCCAGCCGTCCAAGTTACCGGCAAGCAGCAGCTCGTTGACCGCAAACGAGCCTGCGAGTTGCGTTCTGACGTCACCAGGCAGTGGCAGCAGCAACGGCAGCAACAGTGGCAGCAGAAGCGGCGGCGAGAGCAATGGGAGTGCGTGCTTGCCGCAATCCGCAGAGGATGCCGTGTCTCCTCAAGGTCCGCCGCCGCTGCTGCACGAAAGGAAGCACGAGGAAACCCAGAAGCACCTCAAACAGCAGCAAAAACCACAGCTATTGCAGCAGCAGCAGCAGCAGCAGCAGCAGCAGCAGCAGGTGAATAAGAGCAGTCAAAACTCCAGTTCCGAGGCAGCTACAAGCCAAGCCTCCACCGAGGGCGTTCCGGAGGTCAAAGGCTCAATTCAATCCAAGCCTGCTGCCGTGGTCAGCGCTCGCGGCACACCCGCTGTGCCTGCAGGGGGACCTCGAGGCGGGCAGACATCAAAGCAGGCCAGCACACCCGCGCGCCACCCTCAGCGTCTTGCTGCCCCTCCTCATCAACCCCAGGCGGCGCTATCAGAAGGCAGGCTGCCCTCTAACCATCCTTCTGCATCGGGCGTGGTGGCGGCGGGGGCTCCCAAGCAGGGTGGTTCATCGCAGCCCGTGGCATGTGAAGGGGGAAGAGGGAGGGCTGCTGCTGCTGCTGCCGCCACGCGTGCTGCTGCGGCTCGTGGTCGCGCTGGTGGGCGGGGGGCGGGGCGTGGGCGTGGCATGAGCAGCGGCAGTGGAGGGTGCAAGTCTCATGTGCAGCTGTCGCTGCAGGTTGGAGTTCCCTCTCCGGGCGTATGGGGCATTGCAGGGGCGTCACCTCGTGCAGACGGCGATGCAAGCAGAGCCGGGAGCGCTGCTATCATGGCAGCACAGGCGGATGCAGCATCATGTGCAAGCAGCGGCACCCCTCGTGCAAAAGGACTGGGCGGTACAGCAACAGGAGACGAGGAGGAAAGAGGTGGCTCAAAGGAGGGAGTGAAGATCGGAGAGAGTGAATCAAGTTCTTCGAAAGTGGATGACTCGCAGGGGCGCTGCATGGACAAGGCACCAGGGCAGGTGACTGCGAGGCAGACCGGGGGCCAGGCCATGCAAGCCCTCTCACTACGGGCAGATAACAAGCAGCCGACAGCACAGCTGAACGGAGGGAAACAGCTGGTACAGTCGCAGCTACGTAAGGCGGTGCTGTCAAGCAGTTCACTTCAGCAGCAGCAGCCAATACCGCTATCACTCGCCCGGCCTGCCTTTCTTCCGCCTCCACTCACCTGCCCCTCTCTTCCATCCTCTGCCCCTCGCCCACCGCCACTGCACACTCGGTCTACCAGCATCAGTACCATGATGAGCATTCGCCCTCCTCTCTCCAGGGACCCTTCCTCTCCTTCTCTCAACTCCTCTCGCTCCCTATCCCTGTCCCTCTCCCCACCTGATAAAAATATCTCACACTACCATGCAGCAAACGAGGGCAACTCTGGCGGCAGAGGCAGGGGAGTGCGGCCGCTGGTGCTGGGTAAAGCTGGCCTCAGTGCTGCGGGGAATCTGCAGAGTGGGAAGGGAGGAGGAGGGCTGAACGAGGAGGTGGTGGTGGTGGGAGCCAATGCAGCCGGGGAAAAGGGTCGCCGTGAACACGGGACGAGGCGAGCAGGGAAGGGGCGCTGGTGGTGCAGCTTTCGCTGGCAGTGCTACAAACTTGGCCAGAGGATCAGCAGCATCTGCACACGGAGCAGGGAGGTTGTTATCAGCCAGCACGAAAGTGTCCCCATCCAATGGCACCCCTCACATGCTCAGCCGCAGCCTCTCTGCTCCTCTATCCGCCCTGCGTGCCATGCCCCCCAACGTCCCTCACCTGCACCCCGCCTGCCTACCCCCGTCCACGTCCTCCGACTATCTCCAGAACCAGCAGCTCCACACTCACACCCACCGTAACAACCAGCACGTCAGCCCGCAGCAGCAGCAGCAGCAGCAGCACCGGCGCTCCCCATCTCATGTCACCGTGACATCCATGTCGCCTGGTGTGAGGCCCCTCAGGCCGGGCGCACCCAGTCCTCGCAGCGGCACCCAGGCCAGCAAGGCAGGGCGGGAAATGCCGGGTGAGGGCGCGGGCAGCGTTATGGAGCAGGGTGCGCCGAGTGTGCAGTGCAGAGGCGGGGGCGGGGGCGGTGGAGGGGGAGGGGGCGGGGGCGGGAGCGAAGAGGCTTCAGTGGAGAGGCTTAAGCAGGGTGCGGGAGGAGCGCAGGCGAGGATGCTGCGGTCGTCACTCTCCTCCAATGCCCTGCTGCCGTCCCCCACTCCTGCCTCTCTCCTGCACAAGCGCTGCAGCCTGCCTGCCAGGAGCAACTCATTGGTGAAGCCTCTTCCCGGACTGCTGGAGGGAGCGGGTGCTGCGAGGAAGGGCACTGGCGCGGTGAGGGAGGAGGAGGGTACTGGTGGTGGTGATGGCAGTGGTGATGGTGGTGCTGTTGGGTTAGAGGTTGGTGCTGGTAGCAGCGGTGGTGGCAGCGGCGGCTGTGGGAAGGTGAAGCTAGGGAAGGAAGGCGAAACAAATGTAGAGGGGGAAGGGGAGGGTACTGCTGAGGAGAGGATGGTGTATGAGGGTGCGCTGCATCTGGTAGATGTGCTTATGGAAGAATCTACCACCATGGCAATAAAGGCTGCTGCTGTGAAGGCCCTGCTGCTGCTTGTCATGGAGCATTGCAGTGGCGTATATGCAGCGTGGGAGTGTGGAGCTGTGCCCGCTTTGCTATCACTGGCCAGGGCACACAGCAACGCACTCAGGAAGGTGAATTCTCGCACAATACCGAATAATCATGCGATGGCGGTTGGTGGGAGTGGGGATGTGGGTGCTGAGGGGGGATCAGCTGCTGAAATGGCAGCAGATGTTGCTCGCATTCTGACATGCATGGTGGGAGATGCGGCGTCATGTGCCGATGATACAATGCTGCAAGGGGTAGCAGAGGCAGGCATAGGCATGCTTGGGAGCAGCGTGCAAGGTATGGATGCACATGCAATGGGCCTGCTGACTTGCCTTTTGCGCTGGCCACAAGGGCGAAAAGCAATTGCTGACGTGGCAGGTAGTGCAGCAGCATTGGTTGAGGTGGTGGAGGGGCCATGTGTGCAAGCGAGAGGAGCAGCTGTGAAGGTGATGAGGGATCTTGTGGTCGGGGGATTCTTGTCAGCTGTTGCTCTGGTTGGTGAGGGTGCGTTGCCACCGCTAGCAAGAATTACCCTTTGCTTGGGGGAGGGATATTCTGGCGAGGTGATGGAGACAGGGTGTCACGAGCGGGAGCTGGTAAAAAATGCACGCGCCTTGCTTTTCTTACTCAAGGAATCCGTATGGCAAGGTAAAGCGGATGCAAACGATGATTCGTTCTAAAGCTTTAGAAAATGCTCTGTTATTAGATTACTTAGCGTAATCAAACTTATTTCTTGATACAAGCATTTTTTGTATATTATGTATTCTGGGACATTAATAAATGTCGCTGTTCATTTATACAGTTGAAAGCGAAGGGTGTACATCTGTCGTGTGTCAACTTTTCATGTCATCGTATCACATTTCGTGTCAGTCAGTTCCCTGCTACGGATCTCATGGTACTTCCGTGTGAAATGCATGCCTGCATGCCCAAGACCGTAACACCATGAAATCAGACATTGGCAGTTCATGGCGGCTGAGGTGAGGTTTACGAATCCGCTCACCTCCTCTTTCCGTACGGTTCTATGAGCACTAATATGTACTTTCTAATCCGTCGTGTTTTTTTCCAGTCATGGATTATCTGGCATTCGAAACAACGTTGAAAGGCGACACTTATCCTGGTTATATGCCGTTCCTTGTATGACGAGAGATTGAGAAGGGAGAGCAGCGTACCAATGGATACGGAGCAGCTGCGTTCAGTTCTTCTGTGCCACTATTGCTGTCGGACCGTCTGCATTTTAATTCGACGTTCATCTGCCAGATTTGCAGCGACGGTTTTTTTTAGGATGTCAACGCGTCTGATGCTTCTCACATAGCCCCGTTTCTTTCACCAAGGTTCACGAAGCTCGTTTGGTTCCCGGCGATGGATCCTGAGAGTTGCGATACGTCAAACCAGGCATCAATGCAGGGTGCAACGTCGGAATTTCACTACCCGTCGACAGAAGAGGCAGAAATTGTTACTGACATCAGTACCAACGACGATGAGCGCACAGGGGTTGCCTCTGAATCTGAGGCCGCGGTAACCCTTCAAGGACGAAATTCTTTCCCAGTGAATCAGGGTTGTACATTTGTTCTTGATTCTGACTCGTCTCCAAGCGCGAACCCTCGCAGCTCCAACATCTCGTTCATGGAGATTGATGAGTCTCTGGGGGCTGCTGAAAGAAATTTGAGGCGTTTCAGTGGAGGTTGGAGCATTTCCAGACGAGCTGATTATGGAGGAGATGATCCTATTGAGGAAGCTACTGAAGGTGCTGCGGAATTTGAAGCTGCAGCTCTCCTCAGGCGAAATTTCCTAAGGTTGACTCAGAACCGTGTCATTGATGTTAATACTCACCCGCCTCGAGTTTCAGATCCTTCGAGCTCGGTTCCTTCGTACGCATTATCAGATATCGTGACAACCTTGGGAGCTGCTAGGAGGATTCTGAGGCGTTTCAATGCAAGTGGAAGTCATACCAGGCGAGTTGAACTCGCAGATGATGGCATGGAACGTGTCAATCTGCCAGGTGATGCAACAACAGCAGCAATAGCGGTTTTGCCACCATCAGATGGGGGACCAACAATGAGACTGTCTGCTTCTGGCACGAGTCAGGCAGCTACTCCTCAAGACCCGAAGCTGAGTGGTGTGACTGAAGCCAGGGCTTCGAATACAGCATTGGAACATGTTGACGAGGAGGTAACGCGTGAAGCTCACAACGATGCAGATGATGGAATTCAAGCTGTTGGTGTCGGTGTATATGCTTGTAACGAAGGCACAAATGTGGGTATGGCTGAACAGACTCAGGAAGAAGTTGAAGTGGCGGATGGTGACTTGCCTGGAAGTATATCAGGAAACGATGCTACTGAATCTGTTCGAGATCAGGTGGTTGCAAACGAAGATGGTGGAGCAGATACGGAGAGTGATACTGGTGGCGAGAATGACCTCCAAGCGGAAGCTCGTGAACGTGACGCAGTTTTAAGCAATCTTATTCGGTTGCGCCAACAATTGGTGTCCATCAGAATTGAGATCATCTCAATCAGGAATGGCGAAGTGGAAATCAATCTAGCCATGCGGAACATGTGGAACACTCTATTTGCTCTACGTGCTATGCTTGGACAGCCAGAAGGAAACCCTCCGGCTTCTCAGTCTGCTGTTGCCTCCTTGCCTGCTGTCCTCGTGCACTTGGAGGATGTGGAGAATGGGGCTTCATGCTGTACCGTGTGCAATGAAGTGGCAGAGGCCGGAGAGGAGGTGGTGAGGCTGCCATGCAGGCACCTGTACCATGGGCCGTGCATCAGGCAGTGGCTTGACGTGCGCAACACGTGTCCCATGTGCCGGTTTGAGTTGCCTACGGATGACATTGTGTATGAGGCGAGGAGGGGGCTGATGGCATCACAACGAGCACAGCGACAGCAGGAAGGGCAGTAGCAGCACATAAAATAGCAGCAGGAGCGGAGCAGTGGCAGCAACAGCAGCAGGAGAAGCAGTGGCAATTGCTGTGGTTGTAAAATGGCAGTAGCAATAGCAGTAGCAGTAGCAGTGGCAGTAGTGTAGCAGTAGCAGTAGCAGTAGCGGTAGCAGTGGTAGCGGCAGTGGCAGTAGCAGTAGCAGTATCAATTGCTGCAGTAGTACAGTAGCGGTAGCAGTAGCAGTAGCAGCAGTATCAGTGGCAATACGGCACCATTAATGACGTTCTACTGTCAATCCTTGCATCTTACACAGCCCTAAAGATTCCAGTCCTCCGTCCCACCCATCATACACATGCTTTCTACAATATCTAATACCCAAGTATCGCAGCATTTTCAGCTCCGTGAGATCTTCTGGCAGTCCCTGCAGTTGTACACTATCATGCAAGCTAAGACTGCGCAGCTGAGTCAGTTGTGCAAACCCCGAAGGAAGGCAGCGCAGGCCGGTGTTTTCCACATGCAGCTGGTGGAGGCATGCAAGGTGGGTGAGGGAAGCGGGCAGGTGGTGCAGGGCGGGGCAGTCAAAGAGGTGCAGCTGGCGCAGGCGGGATGCAGCGCCAATGCTGTCCGGCAGCTCCCTCAATTCCCGCGCACAGTGGATCTGCACAACCCTCAGCTGCGCCACAGCCCATCCCATGTCGCTTGGAAGCCGCTGCATCTTCCCCGCGTTCCAGATGACCAGCGTGTGCAGCTGGGGGAGCAGCGCAAGGGAGAAGGGCAGCTCCTCAGCCTCCTCCTGCAGCGCCAGCTCCAGCTGCTTCACGCGCGCAAACGTGCTGCTAACAGCCATCCTCTCCTGCGCACCAACCAGCTTCAAGGAGAGCTTTCTCAGCCAAGGCAGCACGGAGACGTCTGGCAGATCAGCCACGTGGTAGCTGTTTCCAAGACTCAAGACCTCAAGAGACAGCGGCAGAGACGTAGGAGGCTGAGTCTGGTCATAACACCCGGTCAGCTCCAGCCATTTGAGCCTCCCAAGGCTGTCTAACCTCCTGGGAACCGAGACGAGCTTCACACAGTCATCAACCGTTAGGGTTTCAAGGCTTGAGAGGCTTGTCAGGGACTCTGGAAGCTTCTGGAGCCGAGGACAGGAACGAATGTGCAATTCCCGCAAGTTAGTCAGGTTCCCCAAGTCCTTGGGAAGTTCACGAATCGTGCACATGGCCAGTTCAAGCCTGGTCAACGAAGTAAGCCGGGTCAAGGAGACCGGCAGTCGCGGCCGCTGGCTATGACCGTTCAAATTGTGACACGACTCTCCGAGGAGTGTGCAGTGCAGTCGTCATAGCATTACAAATCTCGATTTTACAGCACACTCAGATGGGCAAGAACAGTTGGTTTAATCATAAACTATGTACTAAGAAATACCTATGATAGAAGGGGGTTGGGAGGGAGGGAGCAAATCAAGATCTAGAAATTGCAAATGAGACTAGGTGGCAGGTCTGAGAGACCTGCCGGAATGTCAAGGAGTTTGTCTCCTTTACAGCAAACTCCTCTACTAGTCGAATCACAATCTTCAAATTTTTTGAACTTAAAAAATTTTACATATTGTGACACGACTCTCCGAGGAGTGTGCAGTGCAGTCGTCATAGGTAAGCGAGACATCATATCGAGGGAATGTGACGATGGCGTGCGAGGGTGGCTGTGTAACGATGGGTTGGACTAGGGCGTGTTGGGTCCTGAAGAGTCCGAGACGCCGCTACCAATTCCCGATCGAGTTGAGTGACGTATAACTCACAAGCCTTGTCGCTACACCATCGGCCGAGAGCCTTGAAGAGTCGATAGGGAACACCCACATCAACTGCCACAGTGGCCGCCGATTTGCGAAAAGAATGTGTGCCGAGGGCATTCGGGTTAAGGCCGACCCGACAGAACGCCTCGCGACACCAGCTTCTAACCGTGGCATATGAGGGGGATCGGTCCGACGGCAAAGCGCGAGCATTAGGCAGGAACACCCTGATCAGGGCGCCTAATGTCTGTGAAGAGAATCCCGCGAGGAAAAGAAATTGTTGCGTGCGGGCGACTGGGCAGTGACGAGCAGAAGAAGCTGCAACTGAAACCCAGGCGCCTGATCCAGCCTGATCCGTTTTGGATCGGGGAATGAAGAGCCACATGCAGTCACGGTCGAATTCGATATGATGCCACTGGAGGGCGATCAGGTCGGAGAAGCGCAAGAAGGCCGCGAACATTAGAAGGGGTATGAGACCGCGCTGGAATGTGGCGGGATCCGACGACGCGAAATAGATGTCGCATATGTCGTAGATCTTCGCAGGGGGTATCGGTTCCTTCGCCAGTGAGGGCTTGCCTAAGTGGCGCTGCGCATACTCTCGCACTTGTGAAGAAAGTGGTCCTCGTATAGGGGAAGGGCAGCCGACCAACCAATGGGCGCATGAAATTGCGGAGCAAGCAGTTCGCACGGCCGATACGGTTGCGCCCCTTCGGATCGAGTGTAGTAGGAAAAGGGCTGTTGTCAGGTCAGTGGCTGGAAGGAATGGCAACGAATGCTCGTGGCAAAAGGCGCGATATTGCCGCCAATATGGTTCGTATGTGCGAATGGTCGATTGAGCGCGCAAGTCGACTGTGAGTGTCAAGAGATCCATCATCAAGTGTCCAATGTAAGATCCTGCACGTTTACATGACTATGCATTAGTATATGTCAAACGGAGTGCATACATGTGCGAATGAGGAATACCGGCACCACTAAAGGCCTGAGGATCGCTACCAACACCTAGACAAACGGAGCCGTGGGAGAGATACATGCTCCCACATATATCATTCGCCCATGCAGCGCCATTCGGGCGCAGCAGTGTGTCAAACATTATACATGTTGTATTTGTGTAGGCTGTAGTGGGTTAGCCTATAGGGGGGTCACAACATTAGGGTTTCATATTTGTACTCACAATCCTTGCTAGTTCATCATTCCAGTCCGTTCTCGTTGACATGGTATCAGAGCAGGTCCTTCGCTAGGACCGTTTTTTTTTAAGGGCCCACCGTTCCCTACCTACCTACCTACCTACCGACTAGTGGCGGCAGTGGGGGAGGAGACAGCAGCGGTGGGAGTGGTGGCGGAGGCGGCAGCGGAGGCGGAGGTGGTCGTGGCGGCGGCAGGGGTGGAGGTGGCCGGGGCGGCGGCGGTGGGGGTGGTGGTCGTGGAGGCACTGGCGGAGGGCAGAGTCAGCAGCCCGCCCCGACGCTTCAGGCCGCCCGTGAGTGGTATGCGCAGCGTGGCTTTACCTGCACGTACGTCATTCGCACAGGTGACCGCAGCGGCCAGCAGTGTGGGAGGCCGCACCCCACGCAGCGCTGCTTCGCGCGCCTTACCGACGCGTGGCGCACTCAGTTTCCTGCTGCCACTGAGCTGCCGCGCTGGGCTGATCTGGAAAAGAGGGGTGTTGATATTTGGGCTTTAGACTTTGATGCTATTCTCACTGCCATGTATGCGATGTCTATTAGTGGAGAGGGTGCTCAGTACTTGCGTGTTCCGCCCGACCCGGGCATTCAGGCCAGTCCGGCTGCCGCTCTAGGTGCTAGTGCGTCTGCTCCCACAGGTCCTGGTGAGGCTGCAGCCCTAGGTGCTAGTGCGTCCGTGCCCCCTGGTACTGAGTCGACTGCAGCACTGCACACCTTCACACTGGACTCAGGTGCTTCTCGCTCCTTCTTTCGTGACCGCACTGTCCTTGAGCCACTCGCTCGGCCAGTTGCTGTCTCCCTTGCTGACCCCTCTGGGGGTCCGGTCATTGCGACCTCCTCCACTGTCCTTCCTTGTCCGGCGGTCCCGTCCGGCACGCTGTCAGGTCTCTACCTCCCCTCGTTCTCTACGAACTTGGTGGCAGGTAGTGCGCTCCAGGACGGGGGTGTTCACCAGTTCACCCCCGCCTACGAGCGCGTGACACACTGCACGTGTGCTCGGACGGGTCGCCACCTGGCTACCTTCACTCGGGAGCCGGGGTCGGACCTTTACACACTGACCACTGAGTCTCCTCAGGTAGCTGCGTCCGCGTCTGCGTCTGCGTCAGGTCAGCTGTCCGCCCCCTGCTCGTGTCGCTCTCTGGTGCATGAGACTGTCCTTTGGCACCACCGCCTTGGTCACCCGTCTGTGCAGCGCCTTCGGGCCATGCACAAACGGGACCTTGTTGCTGGTCTTCCCAGGGTGCTCCCTCCCCTTCCCGACTCGCCAGTTCCTCCCTGTATTCCCTGTTTCGAGGGACGGCTGTGCGCCGCTCCTCACTCCTCCTCCTTTCCCCCGACGACTGCTCCCTTGCAGACGCTCCACTTGGACGTGTGGGGCCCAGCCCGCGTCCGTGGCCAGGGTCAGGAGAGGTACTTCCTGATTGTTGTTGACGACTTCTCGCGCTTCACCACGGTCTTCCCCTTGCGCGCCAAGGGTGACGTCCCTGATGTATTGATCCCCTGGATCCGCAGATCTCGTCTCCAGCTCAGTGAGCGTTTCCGCTCCGACTTCCCTGTCCTGCGTCTGCACTCTGACAGAGGTGGGGAGTTTTCCTCTGGCCTCTTGGAGACCTTCTGTCAGCAGGAGGGCATTGAGCAGTCGTTCACGCTTTCGGCCTCTCCACAGCAGAATGGGGTTGCTGAGCGCCGCATTGGTCTGGTCATGGAGGTCGCTCGTACCTCCTTGAGCCATGCGGCTGCCCCCCATTTTCTGTGGCCGTTTGCAGTCCGATACGCTGCGCATCAGCTCAACCTCTGGCCCCGTGTCTCCTTGCCCGAGACTTCTCCGACACTGCGTTGGACGGGAGAGGCTGGCGATGCGTCGCGTTTTCGGGTCTGGGGATCCCGAGCTTTTGTCCGCGACACGTCCGCGGACAAGCTCTCCCGTCGCGCTGTCCCCTGCGTCTTCCTTGGCTTTGTCCCGGACGCCCCTGGCTGGCAGTTCTACCACCCCACCTCGCGTCGTGTCCTGGCCTCTCAGGACGTCACTTTTGACGAGTCCGTCCCCTACTACCGCCTCTTCCCCTACCGCACTGCCCCGCTCCCCCCCCCACCTCTCTTCCTCGCTCCAGGTGCTGAGGTACCAGACCCCCTCCCCCCTCAGGGTGCCGCTCCCTCAGGTGTGTCCCAGGTAGACCCGGGTGAGCCTGTCGAGGTAGCTGTTGACTCTCGTCCTGCTAGGGGTGCTGAGCCTGGGGGTGCTGCGTCTGGGGGTGCTGAGCCTGGGAGTGCTGAGTCTGGGGGTGCGGAGCCTGGAGGTGCGGAGCCTGGAGGTGCTGAGCCTGGGGGTGCTGAGTCTGGGGGTGCTGAGTCCGGGGGTGCTGAGCCTGAGCGTGCTACACCTGGAGGAGCCCTCTCCTCCCAGCAGCTGCAGGAGAGGTACCTCGAGTACTGCCGCCTCCGGCGAGGTGCTCCTGGAGCTCGTCCCGGTACTTCCCCTCCTACCCGGGAGCTCCCCCCCATTCAGCAGATCCGCGAGTGGTACACACGGCGCTGCAGTCTTCGGAGTGGTGCTCCTGGTGCTGCGGACCCTGGGGGTGGCGCTGCTGCTGGTACTGAGGACCCGGACGTTGGAGCTGCTGCTGGTGCTGAGGACTCGGACGTTGGAGCTGCTGCTGGAGCTGAGGACCCGGGCGGTGGCGCTGCTGCTGGTGCTGAGGACCCGGGCGGTGGAGCTGCTGCTGGTGCTGAGGACTCGGACGGTGGAGCTGCTGCTGGAGCTGAGGACCCGAGCGGTGGCACTGCTGCTGCTGCTGAGGACCCGGGCGTTGGAGCTACTACTGGTGCTGAGGACCCGGCCGGTGGAGCTGCTGCTGGTGCTGTGGACCCGGACGCTGGAGCTCCTACTGGTACTGAGGACCCGGCCGCTGGAGTCTCTTCTGCTTCTGGAGACGCTGCGCGGCCGCGACCGTACTTCGTACCGCTCCTTCAGCAGGTTCTTGGGCAGGCTCCTCCTCCTTGTCCTCCTCCCTCCGTAGAGTGTCCTCCGCCTGTCCAGCCGCAGTCACTGTTACCGCCTACCTCGCCTCTCCCTGCTCCCTC